CGGACAAAGAGTGGATGAATCTCGCTTAAGTTTTAAAATTAAATGTATGGCTTTAATGCATTTTTCAACAAATGATATTTTCAATTATGTTTTTAAATATAAATGACCTATTCAACATGTATTGCAAATGCCAGAAAATTGTAGTGAATGTAATGGTCGTTCATTAGTACTACGATTGTTCAATTAATGGCTCATTTATAGACGTTGAGTTATAATTTGTATTGCAGCAGAATCCAGTATTAAACCATGGCGCCAACAAAAAATCCAAGCTATACTCCAGCAGACCTAGAAAATGCAATTGAGGAAGTACGTAATGGCGTTAGCTACTATAAAGCGTCAAAAAAATATTCAATCCCAAAAACTACTTTAATCTATAAATTTACGGGAAAGACCCTTCTAACTCGTAAAATGGGTCCAGAGACAATATTAACTTTAGATGAAGAGAAAACACTGAAAACACTCGTAAAATGGCTTTTCCATTTACAAAATAGGGGTTTTCCGGCTTCAAAATCATGCCTGTTAGATAGTGTACAGATTTTAATAAAAGATTTAAAAAGGAAAACTCCTTTTACCAACGATCGACCTGGTACGAGGCATTCATGCGTCGAAATCCAGAAGTAAGTGTTCGAGTCTCTCAAAATTTAACAAATGCTAGATCGAGTGTTACAAAAGATAAGTTACAAAGTTGGTTTTTGGAGGTGGAAAATTATTTTACAGAAAACTTTTTGTTGGACGCAATTTCCGATGGCAGCAGGGGGTGTTTAATTGTGATGAGACGGCTGCATTTCTGTGCCCCAAAGACAACAAAGTTTTGGTCCGTAAAGGAGAACGGGCCGCCTATAATTTTGTCAACAACGACGAAAAAGAATGCATAACAACATTATTCATGTGCAGTGCTAGTGGTATCTTAGCCCCGCCAATGATACTTTTCAAATATAAAAGGATGCCACAAAAAATTGCCCATTCTGTACCACAAGATTGGGGAGTTGGTATTACTGATAGTGGTTCGATGACAGGCGAAAGTTTTTTTGAATATATTACAAACATTTTTTATCCGTGGTTAATAAAAGAAAACGTTGAGTTCCCAATTATATTGTTTGTAGACGGCCACACATCCCACTTAACACTGAAGTTAAGTGAATTTTGTTCACAAAATAAAATTACTTTGGTAGCTTTGCTGCCAAACGCAACTCATATTCTGCAGCCACTGGATGTTGCGTTCTTTCGTCCGTTCAAGCAGCAATGGAAAGCTAAAGTTTTCGAATGGAGAATGCAACACAACGGACAAAAACTAAGTAGAGACGAGTTTGGGGTGTTACTGGAAAAGACGTTGCTTAGTATGAACGGTACAGATAACATTCTGAAAAATGGATTCCGTACGTGTGGTATATATCCTTTCAATTCGAAAAGTATTGATTACAACAGATACTTTTAAGACCACGGAAAGCAGTGGCCATACATTGCATGAAAGTACGGCAGAAATTACAGAAGATAACGACGACACAGAAAAGTATTAACAATTTTTGGGCTTCTTAGAAAAAGAAATCCCGGATAAAATTGATCTTTTTCAACAATGTACTACTGAATGGACTGGAAACGTAGAAGACAAAAGTTTGTTTTGTTTGTGGAAAAACGTGTCTCAAAAAGCATCAAGGAGTATTGTATATCAACAAATACAGGAGAATTGATAGATGAAGTTTTAAAAGAAGGGAATGTATCTTTTAATGCAGACGACGCCAATAATTTCTTTATTGACCTCGACGAAGAAGAATTTGCCTTGTTAAGCAATAATGTTCAAAATTGTACACCTTCCAAGACACCAATGAATAATAATTAACTTATAGGAGGTGCGTTCGGTTTCGAGCGCGGATCGATTTTTTTGCTCTAAATCGTTCGGAAACTACCTCTAGGATCAGATGCGCATCGTTCGATAACTAGATCTAGAGCAGAAAGATCGCGCTCCGTTTGCTCCGATATTTTTGAGCGAGCTCACGTATTTCAAACAGCTGATTGAAGGAAGTAGGGTTTGAATAAGTTATTTTGTTTTGAACGTACGTGGTATGAATCGCGAGCTCCTTCCTTTTTAGCGCATTTCCACAAAAATAAAAAAAAAATGCGCTATTGTGGCCACTTTGTCCGTCCGTCCGTCCGTCCGTCCGTCCGCCCGCTAACTTTGCGACGCTACTAGTTTTTTATCTTAAGAGCTATTGTTCTACTTTTTTCGCTATTTGGTTCGTTATGGTGTCGAGTCTTGTACCAAGGAAGGAATTTTTTCTGTACCGCTTACAAAAAAAGTTATTGTAAAAAAAACAAAAAACCGTTTTTTACATGTTCCATAATTTTACACTTTTGCCGTTTATTAACGATCCTAGAGATCGTTTATAATTTTGCATTGCTATCTGTCGCCTGCCGGTTGGTCTCTCCGTCTGTTCCTTTGTCTGTCTGTCCATCTATCTGACCGTGTGAACGATAACTTTGTTTAGAAATGTTCGATCGCTTTTACATCTCCGTTAGTTATGAACTGAATTGCATGAAATTCAATATGGGCATAGATTTAGCCATATAATACGCAATAGGGTGGGCCGATTTCCGTGCTTTAAAAAAATATGAATTTGCAACTATACAAAAGTTGCAAAACCAGGAAACAAACAATTTTTTTATTTGACAAAAATATATATTTTTATGTTTTCAACTGCCACAACGACAATTAAATTTCGAATTTTGAATTTTGTAAATAACGAATTGTGCATATGGAAAACTTATTTAGGATACAAAAGTAAACATTTTTTGTTAAATAAAATATTCCTTCGTTTTTATTATTTCAACTGCCACGAGAGCACCAAAACTTCAAGGTTAAAATTTTAATATGTGCACATGAAAAACATATGTAAGAGAAAATACTGAAAAATTTTTGTTAAATAATTTTTTCTGTATTTTTATGTTTTAAACTGCCACATCTCCAATTAACCAACGTCTGCCACTGCGCCGTTATGTTAAGACTGATCTAAGCACTGATCAAAAATACCTTTTTGATATGTGTGGTGCAATTTCGAAGGGAACTGTTGATGAAAAATTATCCAAACGAAGCCCAGGTAAAATGGTGCATTCCCGATGGCTGACAACGGCTAATCGTATTCTGCGGCTATACGTTTCAACTGATGAACCATCGGAAAACTTGGTTATCTTGGTAACTTTTATTTTAAAGGTGTATGCTCCAATGTGGTTCATTATTAAAAGCAAACCATCATGTTTGCAGGGAGCCTTTAATGTTTGGAAAATGATACAATTATCTAGGTATTTACCGAAAAACTTGAAGGATGTGATTGATCCAGTGATATTTCGAAATAGTTACTTCGCACATCCTGAAAATATTCTCCTTGGAATGCTAGGTGACACCAGAGAGCATATTCGAGAGCTTGCTGTGCGTCGAATTTTGAAAGCTCGGAGATCTAACATACAGCAATTTCCACGACAATTTGAAGTGCCAAATTCGCTGAATATCAACGCCTCATGCTATACGGACTTAATTGATTGGAGTTGGGGTACTCTTGTCATAAATGAACCGCCATTAACAATAGGGTTATCTGAGGCAGTTCTACTAAATGACTTTGTAAAAAATCCAGGTACATCAATGCGTTTCTCTGAAATAAAATCGTATCCATGTCACACGCAAGCGGTTGAACGTGCTGTTAAAATTGTGACGGAAGCTTCAGGTACAGTTTGTGGTAGTGATAACAGAGATGGCGTAATAAGGGCGAAGTTGGAATCACGTAAAATTATGCCTTCTTTTGGATCAAAGCAAGATTATAAATTAGATTGAGTTTTATTTGTTCAAGAAATGTTTGATAGTATACCTATATTTAAGTATATAGGTACCTATAAACGCATTATTATGTTAGATACTAAAATATTTTCATTTCGGATTTTGTAGTACATGTACTTGTGAATTTGTTTTATAATAAATATTAACTTTATCTTGCTTAAATAATAGTATTTTAACCACTCGATTTGGCTCAAAATAAAATTATAAATTCATAATTTTTAAAATGCCGTTGTGGCAGTTTAAATTGCAAAAATACGGAAAAAAGTAATAAAGAAAATTTGTTTCTTTTTAAGTAATTCAACTTCTACGAATATGCATATTTTGAAAATTTAAAATTAATAAAATCAAAACTTTTGTGCCGTTGTGGCAGTTCAAAAAATAAAAATACCAATTTTGTCTCTTAATGACATATGTTTATTTTCTTATTAAACAACTTTTTTTAAGATGCAGGCATACGCATTTACACATTTTCAAATCCGCTATACAAATCGGCCCAACCTAATACGCAATGCCAAAAGTTGGATCGAATCGATTCAAAATTCACAGTGCCCTTTTCGCATCTCGACCATTTATAAACCGAATTGCAAACTTTTTTACTTATAAAAGTATTTGAATGAAATTTGATACATAGGCACTTGGAATAAAGGAAAATCAAACGCCAATTTCAAAATTTGGTTTTGCGCATGCGCAGTGCCAACTTTTTTATTTATGGAAGAATTTAAACGAAATTTGATACATAGGCACTTGGAATAAAGGAAAATCAAACGCCAGTTTCAAAATTTTATTTTGCGCATGCGCAGTGCCAACTTTTTTATCTATGGAACTATTTAAGTGAAATTTGATACTTAGGCGCTTGGAACAAAGGAAAATCTTAGTTTATTAGTTAGTTATAGTAAATTAGTTTTAAAATTTAGGTTTGCGCATGCGCAGTTCCAACTTTCTTATTTAGAAAAGCATTGAAATGAAATTCTTCTCATAAACTGAAATTGAAGTAGCACGTCAACAATGGATTGCCCATGTGCAACGCTATCTTTCATATTTGTGGCCGGATTTTTACGATTTTAACAGAAGTTGCATCTTACAAATGGGAAATGAATGCAAGTGGAAATGCGCTTTATGTAAATCGTTTACGATTACTTTTTAACTTGTTTAATTAATTTCTCGAACGAAATTTTTTTTAATGATGAATCTGATGACGAAGAAAATGGGGAAAAGCTACATACAATCCCAAAGGTTCCAAATTTCGTGGAAGAAATTGTTCCTCGATTTCAATCATATTATTTCAAGCAAAACTTTCGATTGCTGCCTGCTACATTTGACAAGTTATTGGGGTACTTACATCGAGTAAGATTATCAGAACACAAACGCATTGATGGTCATCCTGAACTAAATTTAGATAAACAATTACTAATTACCATTTGGTACTTAGCGAATATGGAAAGCTTCAGGTAAGTACAGGTAAAAAATATTGAACAATACTGAGATTACTCCCAATATTATTTAGTGTAAGCACAGGGTGGTACACAGTCTCATGCACCGAATTTTAAAGACTTGGAAGCCCCGTGCTCACGTAGAGTGACTAAACGACTTTTGTGTCAATAGTAATTTATTCTACATTTTACGTTGTTTATATACAAAATTTTATACAACAATTGGCAAATTAATTGCAATCTGTTAATTGCAAATTGAAAACTAACCTAGTCAATGTTGTGTGCAAATTGTCCTCATTTACAAATAATGCCATGTAATTTTATTTCTTAATCCTACTTTCTTTCCCAATTAACTATTTCTCTAATATTTGGCCAGCGCCCTTTCTTGTTTAATGGTGATATTAAACATTCTGCCAGCCGCGCCCTAATCTATCTTTTAGTTTTGTGTTTCCCCGGGAATAGTTGAATATAATGATTCTAACTGAACTGCTTCGTGATCGTTGTCCTTGGTATGTGATTTGTTTCTGTGCTGGATGTAGAATCTTATTCCTAGTACGAGTGCCAAGATAATTGCAATGAGTAAGGTAGTTGTCGTGCTTGTAATAATGGACTGTGATGTTGTGGACCGCCATTTGATATTTCGAATATCTGCATTAAGAGTTTCTTCTTCGTCTTTTAGCTGTTTAAAAGAGTCTTCTGCATGGAATATTGATTCTTCTATTACTTTGGTTATTTGCTGAGTTGACCTTGTATGATTATATGGTTTGTTAAACTGTTTTATGTAGCTACCTAGTACTGATAACTTTTTATCCCGTTTCGGATTGAGTATACTTTTCTTTGTTTTCAACAGGCAATCTTGTGAAATCCTGATAATTCCAGTGGCATTGATCGTGATTTCCTGTCGTTCGCCACTACAGGAGATAGCGATACGTGTGGACTGATTAGTGATGAACATCCAAGTATTGGTGGCATAGAGTTGCTTCCAAATTAATCCTTGAATCTCATGTTGTTGTATATTGCATTGGTTAATTTCTGTTCTGTTGTAGACTTCGTCAATGATGCAATTTTTGTTTTCTTCTATTTTCTTCACCATAGTGGGAGCACATATAAAATTGTGTTTGTTTGTTTGTAGGCAGTCTTTGAATTCTTCATTTGATATTTCGAAATATAGTTGATTGTTGTAGTCCACAGCTAGCATTTCTTCATTGACATTTAAGGTCCAAAACGTAGAATTTTCAATTTTTATAGGAATTGGGGTGACTTTCATAATCACGTATACCGTGATCTCTGCCACCAGAAAAAACCCGAACACATGAATCACTTCCACTGTTTGTTTTGTAGTTACTTTGATTATTGGATGTGGTAAAATCTTGAGGATGCTTGGTAATTTCTGCTCTGCCGATGTAATAATACTTCTGATGTGGGTTTCTGATATAAGTTCTTGAAAGTTCCCTTGGTTGTAGTGGATGTTTCTTATTTTGCTGTAGTGATTGTGTACTTCTGTTACTAGATTCACTGCTAGTTTGATATGTACTTAAGATGTGAATATTTAGTCTGTTTTCGTCTATTGTTTTATACCATTTCTGCATCTGGTTTATGGCTTTTATCGCTTCATTTAATTTAGTGTTGAAGCGCTCTAATTGCTTCTCGATGCGGTTTTCTGTCTCTTTAAATTTTGATATAGTAGACAACATTATTTTGGATTGTCTTTCTGAATTCCGCATTAACTCTTGCTGATTCTTGTTTAACGCATCAATGTCCTTGTATACTTCGTCATTCACACCGAATATCGCCGTTAATATATTCCCCAAGATACCTCTTTTTTTACGAGTTTGACTTATGTAGTTGATTCCCTCTTGTACCCATCTCAATTGATTTTCTTGATCCTCGATATGTTGCACCAATTCTGTACATTGTACGTTTTCTGTCGTTGATTGATAGCCCCTTGAACTTAAGGCATTGTTCAAGTCGATGCTCCTGTTGGCAGTAATGGCATGATATGGTGGACGTGTTTCCCCAGGTGTACCTAGGACTTGCATCCTTGCTCTGCATTGACCCCGATGCCTCCAAGGACTGGAACCTCGTCTGCATGAACTGCATCACTTCTCCTAATGCTGGGATTTCATTTGGTTGTTTTAGTGACTGCTCAAATAGCCTGTTGGTTTCTGAGTCCCATTTCTTTGTGGTGATTCTAATTACCATTGGACCCCATGACGATGTATCCATTCCCAGATTTGATATTGTCTCCAGACACTCATGTATGGTATCGTGAAGCCATTTCAATCGAGATGCCTTCGCTGTTTCCATTTTCGAGAATTCCAGGATTCTATCTAATAACGTATTTACCATTAATCTTTTGTTATTATACCTGTTTTGAAGGATCTTCCATGCTGTTACGTAATTTTGTTCCGAGATCATTAGATGCTGTATAAGTCTTGCTGCTTCTCCGTCCACATGCCCCTTCAGATAGTGCATCTTCTCCGCGTTCGATAACTTCTCGTTGGAATGTATTAATTTCTCGAACAAATCGTGGAAGGGAGCCCAATTGTCATATCCACTTCGGAACGTTGGTATTTTTATTTTGGGCAGCTCGATGTTGTTTGTCGCCTTTATACTTGCCTTTTTGGTGAGCATTTTTAATTTTTCTTGTATGTTATCGTATTCGAATTCCATTTTCGTGACTGGATCCTTTCTAAAATACTCATGAGAGAAGCTCACCTCGTTTGCTTGAATGTCCACTTCAAGCTCTGATATTACTTCCCACTTCTTCTCTGCTTTGGTGTACAATGTTTCGCAGCGTCTTAAGTTCTGCTCCATTATTTCCTCTTCCATTTGAAACAATATCCCTCTAAATTGTTTTAGACGAACCTCCTGTTTTTTTATTCGGAGCTCCTGTTCGTTATCCATTTTTTCAATATCCTCTTCCTTCTTCTGCTGCTTCTGTAACTGTTGTAGATAATTTTTCGTGTTGTCGTAGACCTTTTGCAGCTGATCTCTGTACTTTGTACTGTGATACTCATGATTTTGTATCTGTAATTCGATAATTTCGTTATGATTTTTTTCGATACCTTCCTGATAAGCTTCCAGCTGTCGGTCATGTTTCACAATATATTCGCTGGTTTTCCTGGAGGCTGAGTCTTTCTTCATATTGGCTAACATTTTACACATTTGTTGACCAATCTGCTGTTGTTTCCGTGCGAGTTCGTTTAATTGCTCCATTTGAACTTCTGGTAACTAAAACAGAATCCAAACCAACACCCCCTCTTACTTCAGAACCGTTTTTCCCCCTTTTTTTTTTTTAGTAGTAGTTGTTGTGTCGTATGCTGAAAATTTGGTTCTGGCCCGAATAATTCCAAAAACTTGTTCTGTAATGCAACGTTGTGTTTGTCGCACGCAGATATCCGTGGGTCCCCCCGGACTCTTAACGTTGGACTGAAGCTGTATGGTTTGCTCCTTCCTGCTACAGGAATCAGTCTCCAGTTGTTGTCGCCGGCGTTCTTCTGCATCAGCGACGCGACTCTTGATCGCCTTTTTGTTAGTAGGTAGGATCCTTTTGTTTTTCGCCGCTTCCCTTGACTTTTTTAGTCAAAATAAAATTCCGCTTACCCAGTGCCTCTCGCTCAAGTCCAAGGGTCGTAAATCCTTCACTGCTAATAGTGGTTTTGCTGCCGCTGGTGGTGGCTTGAAGGACCTTTTTATTTTCTGCCGCTGGTGTTGGCTCGAAGGACCTTTTTATTTTCTGCCGCTGGTGTTGGCTCGAAGGACCATGAACAATACTGAGATTACTCCCAATATTATTTAGTGTAAGCACAGGGTGGTACACAGTCTCATGCACCGAATTTTAAAGACTTGGAAGCCCCGTGCTCACGTAGAGTGACTAAACGACTTTTGTGTCAATAGTAATTTATTCTACATTTTACGTTGTTTATATACAAAATTTTATACAACAATTGGCAAATTAATTGCAATCTGTTAATTGCAAATTGAAAACTAACCTAGTCAATGTTGTGTGCAAATTGTCCTCATTTACAAATAATGCCATGTAATTTTATTTCTTAATCCTACTTTCTTTCCCAATTAACTATTTCTCTAATATTTGGCCAGCGCCCTTTCTTGTTTAATGGTGATATTAAACAAATATTGTGTATTGAGGAATAACATTTTGACTAGGTCAGTGGCTTCAAGATTCAATGTAAGTAAATCGACATAGTAGTTAAACAAGGAGAGTTCTGGCACAATGTAAATCTCCATAAGCGCAATGCTAAAGTATGGGTTCATTTCAGTGACAAAAACTCACTTTTTGGATCGGTCTTGATAGCGGTGTTTTTTTCGAGGTTTGAGGGGTTGTATATGTGTGTAGGGGTAGTGGATGTGTTTTAGGGGGGTTGTGTGTTAAGGGGTAGTAGGTAAAAACAAATTTCTAATTTTAGAATCATGCTTAGTAACACAAAAGCGGCGTACTTGATTGCGGTGTTATTTTCGGGGTTGTGTAGGGGTAGTAGATGTCTTTTAGGGGGGTGGTAGATAAGGGGTAGTAGGTAAAAACAAAAATTTCTAATTTTAGAATCATGCAGCGGCGTACTTCATAAAATGTATATTTAAAACTTAGTAGTAGTCGTTTGCGGTTGAGATTTATTTTTAGATGTTATTGCGGTTTTATATATATAGTTATTAGAAATTGCATGGAAACCAGTCGAGTTCTACTTATCAACAAACTACGACACACAATTAAATTTGTAAAACCAATAGCGGTTGTTGTTATTGAAATCCAATCAGGTATGTTTTATTCCATTTATGACAATAATATCATGATAAACAAATTGTAATTTCAGTCAAAATGGAAAGCGTCTCTAAAATGAGCACTGAAATAGTAAAGCAGACCAGGAAACTAGCGACAATTTTGAAAACTAAAGCTGAAATCACTACACATATTGGTATTATTCGAAAAAACATCAAGTTAGTGGAAAGTTCAATTAAGGAAAAGGATGCGTTTCGTAATGAGAATTTAAGTAAGTTGGAGAATAATTTGGCCATTTTGCGATGTTACTTGACAAAGTTTAAAAGGATGAAAAACAATTTTACTAAAAAAGTTGGTGCAGGGATTAAAGCTAGTACTAGTAGTGGTAGTAATACTGATAAATGTAAACTGACGTGGAAAACGGTTGAAAGTGGGTTCAAAAATAGATTAATAACAGGTATTATTTCTAATATAGATGTAAAGGATCCTTTAGTTTTTCTACAGGATGCATACAATTGTTTTTCGCGAAAAATTAAGGTTATGTTAAAAAAATCTATGCTAAAGGTTAACGCTTATCTAGCGTGTAATTTTCTTCATCCTACATCTCTGGAAATCGATTTAAAAACCTTTGCAACACCAAATAGCATTATTGACGGAGGTGTCAACCTTAAAGAATGGTATAAAGAAAAAGTATTAGATAAATTGACTGTAAAGCTAAGTGAATTTGCAGGTAGAAATTCAGGTTGGGCTTTACATGAAGTGCTTTATTTTAAGGTTAATATTAATTCATATATTCCTTTGAATGGTGGAGGATTTTCAACATTTGTTGAGCTTCCCAAATTTATAGCAACTAAACATGCAGTCATCAATGTGCGAAACAATGATGAATATTGCTTTCTTTGGGCGATAATGGCAGCTATATATCCGGTAGCAATATCCACATTTCAGTACAGTTTTAAATTATGATACGATCGAGTTCCCAATAAAATTTTGCGACGTAAAGAAATTTGAAAAACTGAATAATCTGGCAATTAACGTTTATTGCATTGAAGGTAAACAGGTGCTTCCATTCCTACTTAGTGAAAACCTTACATGTGACAGAGAACCTATAAATCTATTGGCAATATTTGTAGGCATTAATAACGGAGTACCTTTTTATCATTTTGCATGGATAAAAAAAATGTCGGCACTGTTTTCCAAACAACAGTCTCAACATAACGGTACAAAATATATTTGTAATAGATGCTTAAATCATTTTTCTTCTAGTTCGCATCTTGAAAAGCATAAACATTACTGTAATCAGATAAATTCCTGTCAAGTGATCTTGCCTACAGATAATAATCAATATTTAGAATTTAAACATTTTTCATATCAAAAAAAAGCTCCTTTTGTAATCTACGCAGATTTGGAATGTATTCTAGAAAAATGTGACAATGCTGATATGCATAATAGTACAGAATATTATCAAAAACATACACCCTTTAGTATTGCATATTATTTAAAGTGTGACTATGATAATTCGCTGTCAAATTTTTCTTTATATAGAGGTCAAGATTGCATTCAATGGTTTAGTTCAGAGTTGTTAAATATTGCAAATAAAACTTCGCAGATATTTAATTATATAGTTCCAATGAGAAGTCTTACTCAAACGGAAATCTACGATTTTGAAAACGCTTCCATGTGTTATATATGTAATAAACCCTTTTTGAAAGACGATGATGATGGGAAGTTATGGAACATTGTCATCGAACCGGAAACTTCAACGGCGCTTCACATAATTCGTGCAACCTTAATTTTAAAGATTTACCCATTATCCCAGTAATTTTTCACAATCTGAGCGGATATGATGCACATTTTATTATAAAAAGTTTAGCTGCTGATTTTCCTGGGAATATTAGTTTATTGCCATTAAACAAGGAAAAATACATTTCATTCACGAAAGATGTCAGTAATACCAACATTAAATTTAGATTTATTGATTCGTTTAGGTTTATGAACAGTAGCATTGATAAACTGTCATCATATTTAGAAGATCATAAAAAGACAATTACCAAATTTCACTGTAATAATGATACTGAATTTCATTTATTAACAAGAAAAGGTGTTTTTCCCTATGAATATCTTGACAGTTGGGCAAAACTCAATGAAACAATGTTACCGTCAAAAGATGATTTTTTTAGTCGTTTAAATAATGATGGTATTAGCGACGAAGAATATGATCATGCAAATAAGGTGTGGAGTTCATTCAATATTAGAAATTTAGGAGAGTATTCAGATTTATATTTAAAAACAGATGTTTTACTTTTGGCCGATATCTTTGAGAATTTTAGAGAAACTTGCATGGAAACATATAAGCTGGATCCATCTAGATATTTTACCTCTCCAGGGTTAGCTTTCGATGCGATGTTAAAACTTACGGGCATTAAGTTAAAACTTTTATCTGATATAGATCAGGTAATGTTCATTGAACGAGGAATTCGAGGTGGTATAACCCAATGTTCAAATAGATATGGAAAGGCAAACAATATTTATATGGGTGAGAAATATGATTCAAATGTCGAAACGTCATATTTAATGTATTATGATGTAAACAATTTATATGGTGCCGGGATGTCTCAAAATTTACCATATGACGAGTTTCAATTTTTAAATGATTTTAATATTAACGATATACTCAATCATCCGGATGATGCAGATATTGGTTATATTTTAGAATGTGATTTAGACTATCCTCAACATCTCCACGAAACCCATAGCGATCTACCTATGGCACCAGAACATATGATTCCTCCTCAGTCACAATCAAAATTAAACAAATTAATGTTAACGTTATATGCAAAAAGAAATTACATTATACATTACCGTAATCTAAAGATGTACTTAGAACATGGTTTAAAATTATTTAAGGTGCATAGAGTGTTATCTTTCAAACAATCACCATGGCTAAAGAAATATATTGATCTAAATACGTACATGCGGCAGAAATCAAAAAATGAGTTTGATAAAACCTTTTACAAATCAATGGTAAATAATGTATTTGGCAAATTAATGGAGAATGTACGTAAATATAAGGATGTGAAATTAGTTACTAAGTGGGGCGGTCGCTATGGAGTGCGTTCGTACATATCCAAACCCAATTTTCATAGTTATACAATAATCGATAACAACATGGTATTAATCGAGATGAATAGGTTAGAAATACAGTTAAATAAGCCTATATATGCAGGATTTTCAGTTTTAGATATATCAAAAATATTTTTATATGATTTCCATTATAATTATATATTGCCAAAGTTTCAGAAGCACGCCAAACTCCTATATACAGATACAGATAGCTTGATATACCATTTCTTTGTGCCCAATATATATGAGTGTATTAGGGAGAGCATTTATAGGTTTGACACCTCTGATTATGATGTTAACAATCCTTATAACATTCCTCAGGTTAATAAAAAGGTACCGGGATTAATGAAGGATGAAAACAACGGAAAAATCATGTTAGAATTTGTAGGCCTTCGTGCAAAAATGTATGCATACACTGTAGACGCACAGTTAATTAAAAAATCTAAGGGATCTAGAAAAGCTACAATAAAGGAGATAACAATTGATGATTATAAGGAAGTCTTGTTTGATCGCATTGAAATTAAACGATTTCAATATTTAATTCAATCCAAAAACCATGCTGTATATACAATTAAGCAAGACAAATTAGTTTTAAGTCCTCATGATGATAAGAGAATAGTTAATTTTAGTTGTACAGACACTAAACCGTGGGGTTATAGTTATAGATTGTAATTGTATTGTATATTAGAACTTCATGTATATATTATTATTATTTGTTGTTGTTGTTGTTTTATTATTGAAAAAAGAAGGAATAATAATAATAACCCATATTAATATTAAAACGTTTTTTTATTTATATATTCCTATAGCACATACATACATCAAACTAAATTATCTTTATTAATCCATTGATTATGAGATTTATCTAAACCTAACCACTTAACATAAATCTGATTGCCACGTTTCTTTAACACCTTTTCAATGAGATACACATCGTGATTCATAGTTTTCTGTAGCTCATGTTCATAGAATCCTCCAGCTATCGGTTGTCCATGCATGTCTTCCAATAAATATTGAACTGGATTGGTTATCCTAATGTTGATAATTTTAAACAGTTCAGTTGACCAATTTGGTGTATATCCTTTTTCGAAAATATTTTTAAATTTGCTAATTCGAACAATATCGCCCATTTTAAACCGCTGATTTCCAAATATTTTTAAATGACTGTAAACATCCAACTTTGTGTGTGGCTGCACTGCAATAGGTCGCATTCCCGTTGTACGATGTTTCGCGTTATTATATTCTCTGGTCACTTCATCTAATATATCGATCCATTTATATTTACCAAGCAAATGAAAACGTTTAAATATCTTAGTCTTTAAAGTTCTTATTACACGTTCCGCAA